ATAGGCTGAGTCCAAAGGCCCACGTCCCAACAAACCTCTAACCAGTTGTGTTTCAGAAGGGCTTCCACTGTTTCATTTCAATTTTTTTCAGACTTCACTTGTGCAATTAAAAACGGAGGCTGCAAGCACTTTTGCAAGCACGACCCGCCACAAAAAGTTGTGTGTTCCTGCGCTTCTGGCTACAGGCTTCACGAAGATGGAAAGTCCTGTGAACCTACAGGTTAACTTTTACAGTGTTTTTAAGAGATTTGGGTGAAAGTTTTAAGGTCTTGTCCTGGATTTAGGCACATCAATCTCTTAGTCATGCAACATCCTGTATGAGACCAGCCTTGTTTTCCTGCTCAGCAAATGTGAAGAGCCTGACCCTGCATTTTCCCAACAGCAGATGTGGGGTCAGGCTTGAAGGACATAATATAACCACCCCTTTTTTAGCTTGGGTGGGTGGAGAAGGAGGTTAGCTGTCCAGGAATTTGTTCACAAGGCAAATGCTCATTTCAGATGGCTGCTCAGACAGACGTCTCTCCCACTTGCAGCCATCTTATGTGTCTAGATATGGATCAGTAGTTTTCTGGGGACAGAAATGTGATGTTCAGCTACACCAGCATACGCACTGGTGTCCATCCAGCCAGAGTTCACTCCCATGTTCTTCCAAGAGGAGCTACTATTTAATTACTGATCCTACATTGAGGATGCTCTGGGGTTTTTTTCCAGAACAAAGACAATCTTTCTCACCATAAATCCTCCTGATGGTCTGTTTCATGGCTGGCCGTCACACAGTGCCTTATAATTCCCCGAGTTGGGTGGAAACTAGTGAAGCTTTCTGGTGGTGCTGTCCTCCCAATGGTGTGTATCTGCACACAAAGATCCTACACAGGAACCCTGTGGTTTAGCTGTGGTACTGAGAGTGGTGGAGGAGAAATGCATGGCTTGAGGTTGCAACTCCATAAAGGGCTAAAGAATAGCTGGTTCTTGTTATATTCCCCAATTTTACCTGGCTCACAGGCTGTTACACCCTCTCTAACTACACCCACACATGCAATCCCAACCCACCGCGACACGGCAAGTTAATTGGGCATGAACATCTCTCTCAGAAGCACGTCTGGCAGAGGAAACAGAGTAGAGAAATATTTTGTCATCTAAGGTCAATTTAACATCTGATGCTCTCGTCTTTCTAACACCTGAGAGTACCAGATTTGCACACCTAAGCAGCCACAGGGGTGAGTTGGTTTCTGAAGGTCTGATAGCTACAGTCAGGAACAATTTAAGCTCCTCAAAATGCTGACTTTCAGCAATCACTGTAGGAAGTACCTTAGTCCAGGAGTCCTCCTGTTAATGGAGATCATTAAGAGCTCAGGTCTGTGTTGCCCAACACACCGTATCGCTTTCACTGGGCCAGAAAGTTTTACTGTTAGCAATAAGATCATCTTTCAGGTTGGGTAATTGCCCTTCCTGCAAAAGCTTAGCTTTTGTTGGCTCTGAAACCTTCATTTCCTAGCCTAGCCTCACGGGTGGCACTTTCCATCACTCAACACTTACTTAAGCCCCGTTCCTATAGTGGACAGTTTAAAAAAAATACATGAAGTCTCAGTAGGCCACACTTAGATCTGATTTTACACTAATGTTTGTTTGCATAGTGCTGTCAAAAGCTTTTCAGACGAAAGACAATGCCTGATGCTATTTACTATTTTGACTGCCACCGTCAGCAGGAATTTGGCACGCACTGCATAGGAGAGAAACGGGAAGAGCTCGTCTGGAGCGAGCCCGCAGTTGAGATCTTCATTAACAGAGAAAAGTCTACAACTCTAGAAAGAGTTTATTAATGTTTTCCTCACCTTGGTGCCAAGCGGGATTATCTGTACAATTGGCAGATCTGGTTTCCTGCCTTCTCCCAGCTGGACTTTTGTTGTGCTGGAGTTACTTGCTGTAGAAATGTCAGCCAAGAGGCTGGTCACCCCCCCACAGCAAACCTCCTGGGTATGTCCCTCCCCATCCCACCAAAAACAGAGACCACTGCTCCCTCCCACCAGGCACAGCCTCTCTCTCTCCACTTTCTTCTTTTTAAAAGCTGTTCAGGTGTCATTTCTACAGCCTGGAAACAATTTGTGCTTTTGCTGCTCTTATGTATTGTATATTTTGTGCATATTTTGCTGCTCTTACACATTACACATTTGCTCTCTCCAACTCCCTGAAAGGAGGGTGTAGCCAGGGGGAATCAGTCTCTTCTCCCAAGGAACAGGTGAAAGGACAAGAGGAGATGGCCTCAAGTTGCACCAGGGGAGGTGGATATTAGGAAAAAAATTTAAACTGAAAGGGTTATTAAGCACTGGAATGGGTGGAGTCACCATCCCTGAAGGTATCTCAAGCTGGACAGACGTGGTACTGAGGGACATGGTTTAGTGATGGTTTCTGTCAGTGTTAGGTTGATGGTTGGACTCAATGACCTGAAACATCCCTTCCACCCTGGACAATTCTATGATTCTATGAACTTTTGGTATATCACCTTCACTCGGTCCCCAAACGGCGCTGAGACAAGGCAGCATCTGCCTCCTCACCTGCTCTGTAGATCGCTGTAACCCTCAGCGTGATGCCCAGCCAGTCCTAACCATGACCATTTCTCTCCCAGTGCCATATCCCTGCGGGAGGATCACAGCTCCCGAAGTCAAGAGCAAGCTGACCCGTGCCATAAACACCTTTGAGCACTGGAACATCACTGCCATCGACCACGATGATGCTCATGACGAGGAGCTCGACAACATCACGGAAACCAGCACCGCTGCCGCCGCCCCCACACCCTGGACAATTCTATGATTCTATGAACTTTTGGTATATCACCTTCACTCGGTCCCCAAACGGCGCTGAGACAAGGCAGCATCTGCCTCCTCACCTGCTCTGTAGATCGCTGTAACCCTCAGCGTGATGCCCAGCCAGTCTTAACCATGACCATTTCTCTCCCAGTGCCATATCCCTGCGGGAGGATCACAGCTCCCGAAGTCAAGAGCAAGCTGACCCGTGCCATAAACACCTTTGAGCACTGGAACATCACCGCCATCGACCACGATGATGCTCATGACGAGGAGCTCGACAACATCACGGAAACCAGCACCGCTGCCGCCGCCCCCACCACCACCAAAATCACACCCATAATTAAGACGGGCACCCGGGTTGTGGGTGGATCAGACAGCATGAGAGGAGAGGTGCCCTGGCAGGTACTCATGATTTCTGCTGTTCTCCTGTAACCCCAGCAATCGCTCTGGCTGCTCAATTCCTTCCAAGCGCAGGATGGTCTTCCTTCTACATACCCAAAGGGCACAGCTTCTTTCTGTACAGTTTTATACCCCAGCAAAAAAACTTTAGAGCTATAGCAACAGATTCCCCAGCAGTCCATGAATTTACCAAGAATAAGCCAAGGGCGGAGGAATGGGAGCTTTGCAAAGCACAGGTTTGCAAGGAAGAGTGCAGTTCATTTTTTGGCTCCATCAGTTTCAACAGATCCCTGATAATTTATACCAACAAAGGATCTGTCCTTGTTCAACATCTACCAAATCCAACTCATGACATACGAGTCATCTCTACCACACCAAGAGTGACCCTGGGGGGAGAGCTGGGTGGTGGACCGCAAAGAAACCCCCTCTGATCCACCCTTCTGCAAATACTTTTAAATTGTTGTCCAAAGGAAAGGTAGCTCAGATTTTTTTCAAAGTCATCTACTGCTCTTAAATTCTGCTCTGGCTTCAGTGAGTGCAGAAATCTCCGAAATCAGTGCAGAAATCAGCGGCTGAGTGTGGAAAATAATAAATTCAGGTGAGGTTTTAGGAGTGGCCGTAGCACTGCCTGGGACACGCAGGGTTTTCTGGCACAGCCTGTGGTGGGACAAGCTACAGGTGATGCTGGCACCCACCACGTGGCCACAGAGAGGCAGGAGGAGAACCAGCAAGTTAAACATGAGAAACCAGTACCCATAAAGCAAGTAAAAATCACACACTGCAAGCCCACCAAGTCTGGCTAGTTGGCTATGCTCACGGAGACCTTTATCTCACCAGGGACCCGCTGGAAAAAAGTCTTGGTGGCCCTTTTGCCAGCTGGCAAGTGAAGATGCTCTCCCTGCTGGGATGCAGGCAGCAGCCAGGAGGGATGCAACATTCCCCTGGTGCTCGGGGGTGATTGTGGGGCTCAGATCCCACCGAAGGGCTTTATAAACCCTGTCCCTGTCTCCTCCCTGGCTGCTCCACGGGCACCCGCAGCCACTGGTGGGCTCTGGGCTCAGTGGCAGCAGTCGCCACCGGCAGCCTGCGCTGCCCTCCCGTGGCCAGCAGATCCTCGCCGGGGGCTAGCTGCTTCCTCTTCCTTAAGGATGCTTAAAGGATCCTTAAAGATGCTTAAAGGATCCTTAAAGGGCTGCCTCCAAGGAGGCATCAAACGAGTAAATCCATAGGAAGTGCGACGCAGAGAGAGGGTGAGGAGCCACCTCACCTGAAAGGAAGGAAACGGGTGAATTGTAAAGAAATCCTTCTTTTAAACACAGTCCACCAAGCCGGCCGACAATGTAATTACAAGTTTTAGCATAAGGGATGTCCTGGCTGGTGCCCCGTAAGTGCTGAGGCGGTTCGATGCCTGAATGAAATGGGTAGCTCAGATTTTTGTCCCTAGTTAACTAGTTAAGATCTAATCACTGGTAAAACACTTTTAGGAGATGGGTGTGGAAGCTCTCGTATTTCAGCTGCTCTGAGTGTTGTGCTGAGGTTTGTATTTGGGACTGTTGGCCCTCCCCAGAAGAGGGAGAAGGGCACTAACATGTGTGTGGGGCAGTGTTGGCCACCCCCTGTGACACGGCAGGGGACTGAGGGGCAGGGACCCCCCTGAAGGGCAGTGTCTCTGGCAGCACTAGGTCTGTAGAACCTAAACACAGCCTGTCCTCTAGCCAAAAAAATCCCCTGCATCCCACGTTTCTTCCCCACTGATTTGCACAAACCCATGGATGTGTTTTTCTTCTGCTCCCACAGATCCACCTGGTGAACAGCCACGGGGTGGGCTTCTGCGGCGCCTCCATCATCAACGAGAAGTGGTTGGTGACAGCAGCCCACTGCCTGAAGCCAGGTGACAACGTCACGGCGGTGGCAGGTGAGCACCTCGGGTGGCATCGGACCAGCAGGGGGGACAAGGGACATGGGGCAGGGCCAGGCACAAGGCGTTACACAGAACCCCGGGACCCACACAACCACAATGTGGGCAACGTGGGACAAGTTGCTTTGGGACACTGAGGCCCCAGTTGCAGGTTGCAGTATTTCAGCAGCCTGGTCTCTGCAGGTGCCACCACCTCTGGTGGGAACAGAGAGCTGGGTCTGGCCTCGGTCCCAAAGCCACGGAGCCGCTGGACCATCTTGCAAACCCAGCTCAACCCCACCACAGGCATGGTCACCTGAGAACCCCAGGCTGTTTAAAAGCCTGGTGGACTTCAGTTAAGATGCTGCTTTCATAGAATGGATTGGGTTGGAAGGGACCTTAAAGACCATCCAGTCCCACCCCCTGCCCTGGGCAGGGACACCTCCCACCAGACCAGGTTGCTCCAAGCCCCATCCAGCCTGGCCTTGAACCCCTCCAGGGATGGGGCAGCCACAGCTTCTCTGGGCAACCTGGGCCAGGCTCTCACCACCCTCAGAGGGAAAAATTTCTTCCTGAGATCTAATCTAAATCTCCCCTCTTTCAGTTTGAAGCCATTACCCCTCATCCTATCACTACATGCCCTTGCAAAAAGTCCCTCTCCAGCTTCATGAGCTGGTGTGATGGATTTTTATCTCTGCTGGTCACATAGGACCTCACTAGTGATTCTTGGGGGTCACACGAAGTTTTCATGCAACTCTCAGAGCACAGATTTGTGTGGCTGGTGCAAGAGGGCCACCAGTAGCCTGCCCAGCTCCTTGCAAGGAGAAGATGACTACTTTTGCTTCTAACTTCTAAAGAAGTAAATAGAATTTCTGGATTGAATGAGAGAGACTGGGCTGGCACGTGGGGAAGCGTGGTCTCTCAGCAGGGGCTCTGGGAAGTTAGACAGGGGCACTGTGGTCAGATCACACCGCAAGTGATGCTGCTACTTTACAAAACACATGTAATCTCTGCTTGAAAAAAAGAAATAATGATGTTTCCCCCCCAACTCTTGGTACCCAGGGGTTCCAGCAGGCTGATAACTCAGCACAGGGCCTTGGCAGGTGTCACAGTGCCACATTTCACAGCTGTGGCAGAATCAGCTTCCCCAAATTGCTTGTTTCTGCCCCGTATGAATATCTAGTGCAGGAGGGTTACGCCGACAGGGACAGGAGGGGAACGCTGAGAGGGTTAGTCATTGCTACAGCCAGCACCGAGAGGCATGGAAGAGTCATGCTTTCTGTTTAAACACTATGAAATAGTGACAAAAATGACATTCTACCTGAGCCTTGAAGCGTTTTCTCTCCAGAAATAAGCTCATCAAGAGGGCTCCAGCTGCATCTTCACCTTCTTTTTTAACAGATAAGCTTCAGGGCAGACCCTGAAGACCAAGTGCTGTGGGGCTGGGCACCACCTGATGGGGCTCACAGCGTTTTTTCCTGTCTACTTTCAGCCAGTTTTGCTGGAAGCCCCAGCCCAAAGCCCAGCCTCGCACCCACTAGTGTGAGAAAGCACAAGGTGCCCTGGGCAAAACCAGTCTCCCCCCAAAAAACCACATTTCCACCAGGGCAGAGGTTTGGTATTTGCTGCGTCTGCACCAAACTGCCTCTCCTTCCAGGCTCTCTCCTGCAGGTCACACACCACCCCTCCATTTAGGGCACGTTATCAGCCAGCTCCCCTTCTGCTACCTTCACACCCTTGGGTTGCCAGGGCAGGATTTTAGACCAGGCACGAGTCAAGAAAGCAAAACCATGATGTTGTAGGGCTTCAGGCACTGTTGAATTTGCGCCTGCGCCACATACAGTGCACGGGCAACAGCTGATTCCTTCACATCCATTCACACTAAGTGTTCAGCTCTGTCTGTAGCACCCTAGGAGGCCCCAAAATCAAGAGCAGGGGGTGGAAGAAGCACTCCCCTCTCCTTTGCCTCTCCTCTTTCCTCCCTGAAGCCTATCTCCAGATCCCCAGCAATAGTAAGCAGCCGTAGAGCCGTAGAGCAAGAAAAAACCCAAACATCCTTCTGTCTTGCACTGACACTGTGGAAACGCAGCCTGCGAGGAAGCTGACGTTCACACTCTGCTGCAAAGAAAGAAAAAAAAAACCAACCCACCAACCCCAGCAGAGCACGGCAGCAGCACCGGCCACCACAGCCACCTTCATCAGGCATTAAGGAAGAGAGAAATCAGGCTCACCTCTTTCGCCGGGCTCCTGCCGCTCCTCGCCGGCAGACGCAGCAGAGACAGGACACTGGCAGGGCCAGGAGCGCTGCAGAGACGGTTTGGAGGAGACGGTGTGTTCAGGAGATGACAGCAGAGCGTGGAGCAGTACTGCAGCAGGGGTTAAACGCACCCTCAGGCTCTAGGGCTGCCAGAAAAGTCATCCTCCTCCAGAGCCTTCAGCTGGTCCCCAGAGCAGGAGAGGGGATCCGGCTGCAGGCAGACCCAAAGGCCGCTCCTTCACCAACCCGAGACCACAGAATGTTCTCCAATCCCTCTACCTGTTACACAAGCTGGGAGGGGAGGGAATGGGCTGATGGCAGCTCAATCAGGGGAGCCTGGAGCCAGCTGAGCCTCCTGAGGGCAGTGGAGATGAGGAACACCTGTGAGCACTGGGGTGGGGGCGGCATTTCATGCCCCTCTGCCCTCCCCTCTGTGTGCTTTTGGAAAAGGCAAAGACAGGTTTCTCTTCACTAATTTATTTTGAACTAAGACTTTTAATTAGAATCATAGAATGGTTAGAGTTGGAAGGGACCTTAAAGATCATCCAGTTCCAACCCCCCTGCCCTGGGCAGGGACACCTCCCACCAGACCAAGTTGCTCAAAGCCCCATCCAACCTGGCCTTGAACCCCTGCAGGGATGGAGCAGCCACAGCTTCTCTGGGCAACCTGGGCCAGGCTCTCACCACCCTCACAGCAAGGAATTTCTTTCTGGTTTCTCATCTGAATCTCCCCTCTTGCAATTTAAAACTGTTGCCCCTCATCCTGTCACTACATGCCCTTGCAAAGAGTCCCTCCCCATCTCTCCTGCAGCCTCTTCAGATACTGGAAGGGGCTCTAAGGTCTCCCCGGAGCCTTCTCTTCTCCAGGCTGAACACCCCCAGCTCCCTCAGCCTGTCCTCACAGCAGAGGGGCTCCAGCCTTCTGATCATCTTCGTGGCCCTTCGCTGCACCCGTTCCAACAGGTCCCCGTCCTTCCTGTGTTGAGGACTTTCTAGAGGCTTTTCCCCTTTTGATGCTAGGGCAACACCCCCTTTACATAGCCGTGAGGGTGCTAAATCCCAAGAGCAGCCACGTTGCGACTGACCTTGGCAAAAGCATCTGGGCCTTTGCCACTTGATCAGTCTGTGCCACATCTGGGGGTCCAGGTCCTGCCAGCTGATGGGACCACAGATGTGCTGCCATTGCGGGGGGACCTCCAACACCTTTTGACAAGGAGCAAGCAGCCTTGTTGGCACCAGACTCGGAGCTTCCCAAAGGCTGGAATGTGCAGCGATCACTCCTTTGCAACCACCATCGGGGTTAGGAAGAATTACTTTTAGGAAGAATTACTAATTCTTCTTAGGAAGAATTACTTTACTGAGAGAGTGGTCAGGCACTGGAACAGCCTGCCCTGGGAGGTGGTGGAGTCACCATCCCTGGACGTATTTAAGAAACGTATAGACATGGCTCTTCAGGGCATGCTCTGGTGCCCAAGATTATTGGTTTATGGTGGGGTGTAGTGTATGGGGTTGTGGGTGTGGGGTTTAGTTGGTGGGTGGTGATTTTGGGTTTGTTGTTCTTGTGGTGGTTTTTATGTTTGTTTTTGTTTGTTTGTGGGTTTTTTTGTTTTTGTTTTTGTTTTTTTTTGTGGTTGGACTCAATGATCTCGGAGGTCCCTTCCAACCACTAAGATTCTGTGATTCTGTGATTCTGTGGGGTGGTGTCCCCTTGTGCTGGCATCCTCAGGGCACAGTCACTGGTCTAGCCACGATGCCCAAGCCCCGCTTGTCTCCACAGGTGAATACAACACCAACGAGGAAGACAACACAGAGCAGCGGCGTAAAGTGGTGAAGATCCTTCCCCACCCCACGTACAACGCCACCATCAACAAGCACCACAACGACATTGCCCTCCTGGAGCTGGACCAGCCCCTCAGCTTCAACAGCTACGTCACCCCCATCTGCCTGGGCAACCGGGAGTTCACCAACGCCCTGCTGAAGCTGGGCATTGGGACGGTGAGCGGCTGGGGCAGCACGCTCTTCCGCGGCCGCCCGGCCACCGTCCTCCAGATTCTCAAGGTGCCTTTCGTTGACCGGCCCACCTGCCTGAAGAGCACCTCCACCACCATCCTGCAGAACATGTTCTGCGCCGGCTTCTCAGCCGGGGGCCGTGACACCTGCGGGGGGGACAGCGGAGGGCCCTACACCACCGAGATCGAGGGCACCTGGTTCCTCACAGGGATCACCAGCTGGGGTGAGGAATGTGCCAAGCCAGGCAAGTACGGCATCTACACCAGGGTCTCCAAGTACCTGAAGTGGATAAAGGACATCACGAGGCTTGACTAACCCCCGGGAGGTCCCGCCATGCTGGGGATGGACTGGTTCGTTGACAAGAGACCATAGCAACCTCTGTGTGTGCTTTCCAGAAATCGCTGTGTTTGAATAAAAGTTCCTAAATGAACTGATTTCCGCTCTTGGAAGGCAAAAGTTGGGAGAACGCCATGGAAATGTGGTAATAAGGAAATAAAAAGCCCTTTTAATTACCCCTGCCTGCATTCCTCAACGCACCGGCACTGATGAGAGGGTTTAAATCCCCCAAATCCCGACTGCAGGGGCTGGTGTGGATGAGCCGAGGCATGGCTCACGCTTGCCCAGGGCCAGCATCCCACTGGCATTGCCCACGGCTGGGCAAGGGGAGCCACTGGGTGGCTGTGACACCCACGTCCAGCATCAGCCCTGCGGCAGGAGCCCAGGAGGGGGGGGAACAGGGGAAGCGTCACCCCCCCAGCACCCTCTGGCTGGTTTCACAGGAGCCTGAGATGGATCACAGGCGGCAGAAAACGCTCCTCCTGCTTTAGGACTGCAGCAAATGGGCTGTATAAATGATCTAAAATCAGCATAAAACTCATCGAAAGGCAATGGTGGGGCTTTATGCTAATGATTTCGGTGGAGTCTCGTTAGGATTATAAAGAGAACCGCTCAGTGCTCGTTACCTGTCCCGCTCTCTGCATTAATCATGTTAAATTAGAGACTTTGGGTGCTGCTGGTGGTGGTGGAGACAGAGCACTGCCCCGGGGCTGAGCCTGGGGGATGTCCCCTGAGGGCAGGGACACCCCAGGGACACCCCGGTGTCTGCAGAGCCCTGGCTGGGAGCTGCCTGTCCCCTGCCCGGGGTGGGTGCTGGCACCCGGGCACGGGGAAGGGGAGGTGGCAGCAAATCAGCTACTGGTTTGAAAGCACTGAAAGAGCAAAGAAACTGTATAGAAACTATACATATATACATATTTATAGTCGTGCAGACGGGCTCAGCTCCTAACACATTGGACACCAGCCCCAGGTGCTTTTGTGCAGTGAAATACAACCTGATTTACAGGAGGGCGAGGACAAGAACGAGTTTCTGTCTGACACAAGCCTTCCAAAAAGCCAGAGCTAAATATCCTATCGAAAGAAATAGTCAAATAGATCGTTCCAATGACTCAAATGGGTTTATTTTCTTTTATTATCTTTCCATTGCACTTATCACCCGGGGAAAGGCTACGCTGGGCAGAGAGGTCTGTGTGGGGCTGTCCCCAGGGGCCTCAATCCGGTTCCCAACTCCAAGGGAAGGAAATAATCCCAGGGGAAGGGACTAATCCCAGGGGAAGGGAATAATCCCAGAGGGAGGGAGGTTTCCCTCTGACTGGTGCCAGCTCATCCCGTCTCTCCCTCCATGGCAAACTCCAGGGGTGCACAGGGGAACAGCACGTCCCTCAGGAACTGCACCCCGGGGTGGGCAGAGGCTTTATCACACTCCAGGCAACTCAGCTAATTGCTAAAAGCTAATCAGATCATCTGCCACCACCTACTTTAAAATCAAAACGTGTGTAAGAAGGCTATATTCATTCCACAGAAATTAAATAAAACCAACACATGTATGAATTGTGGGGTTTTTTCCTCTAAAATTATAGCAGAGGTGCGTTTGAACAGAATCGCACGTTCTCGTATGAATTTATTTAACAAGTTTTTAATCTTTAAATATAGATTTAACACATTTTTTTTACAGGTACATATACAATATAGTTCATTTAAACTTGCAGTCAGAGAAAATTCTCTGCTGTGATTTATACATATACATGAAGAGCCTAGTTCAACAGCATACTTAAGGTAACAGACCATGTCGTGTGCAAAGTTTCAAATGTTAAAAATCTCAGACTGTACATTCAGATTTGCAGAACTTATCAACCCCATAAATTAATAAAAGCTTAGATTTAAAACCATGGAAGACAGAAAAGATTAAAACCATTGAATATGCAATGTGTGCTATGTTGGAGACAAATATTTACAGTTGCACCTCAAAATGTGTACTCTTACCACAAGAATTGTTACCACTATAAACAGCCCCGACGGGAACTTAAGAGAATCCTACTTTTCCACCCAGCAAGTGCCTTGTGACCAGTTTTAAAGTAGATGGAAATAACCTTCAATGAGTTAAAACCTCTCTGCTGTGGTTGCCAGTGGCTGAAGACCACTGGGATCTTTCTAGGCCTCGCAGCATTGCCCAGTTCAGACTCAGCCAGTCACCGTTTTGAGGGTGTATGGGGGATATTTTCTGCAATACTGGCCACCCAAACTGGAGAAACGCCCACCAGGGTGGTGGTGGGGAACCCCCCAGGCAACCACAGCCATCACCTAGTTCGATGATTCCTCCGTACAAAAATGGTCACAAATAGTTTAAAAAAAAAACCCCTCCAGTATGTTTTAACATGACAATTTGGGACTGTGTCTAAGAATCCATGGTTCACAAATCAAAGATCATAAAGGTCCCCCTTCAGTCCACGGTATAAAACGTCTCGTTTTGACGGGACAGAGCGAGTTCACTACCGCATGCACACGATTGACCCTGCTCTCAACGCAGCCGGATGCTCTTTGCACACATCTGCTTAAAAGTCAAACCACCTGTACCTACGTTCTACAAAAGCCAAACTAGACAAAGAAACACAAAATTAAATTATGAGCGTTCGATCTCCTTTTTCTTTTTTTTTTTTTCTTCTGTCTCAAAAATTCCATAGATACATTATTGTTAAAGATGCTGAAAAGTAGAGTCTTATCACAAGAACATCCTTAGTGCAAACATGGACATTTAACTTGGATTTATGGCACGTGTTCCAAAAGTACATACATTTAATGTAAACTTCAACACTTGCTAGATACAGGTTTCAGCCTTGGGACACTTTGGGACCCTAAGTGATTGGTGACAACCCTGAGTTGTCAGTGTGACCTGACCCAAACCTCACTGAAATCAATGGGACTGACTGCAATGGGCTGGAATCAGGCCCTAAGTGCAAAAAAAAAAGAGGATCTTTAGCGTTATTGCATCTTCACACGTGAGTCAGCCAGATGATGCTCGTACAGAACATTACATTCACATAGCTCAGGTAGATATCTAAGAAAAATCCATCCATAAAATCAATCAAGCAGGACATACAGCTTCTTTGTGGTTTGGTGTTGGTTGGTTGGTTTTTGGTGGTTTTTTTGTTTTTTTTTTTGGTTTACCAAAACTCAACTCTTTTATTTGCAATCGACTTCAACAGTTGTCAGCTAATAAGTAGCCTTCAACCTGTAGAGGAAACTTCAAGCATCTAAACAAAGTGTCAGGAAACTGTAGTGTACTTCTCTGATGAAACGTGATGGATGTCATGGAAAAAACAGCAGGTAAAATGAATAAAATACTGTACTTTCCACAGGAGAGTAAAAAAAATGAAAGAGCAGAGAATGGCTTCCTTTATGACTATGAGAAGCTGCTTAGGACCCCGGTCCCGTTGAGTGCAGATGAAGCTGTGGAGGTCTGGGAATGTGATGGATGGTACAGGACAACTCCAACTACTGTGCTGGTTCTCTGTAACACTGAGTCGAAAGCTTCCAAAGAGCATCGAAAATAGGATGCTACTAGTTCACCCTTAATTCAAGGGGAACTAAACTTTCTCGTGTTACACAGGGCAGCATCTATAAAGTAATGAAGAATGGTGTTAATATTAAAGCATCTTATTCCAAGAAATACATTGTTCCCTGTAATCACGTAGCAGTTGTATAACGGAAAAATAAATCAGTGCACTCCTGCAGTTCTCCCTACAAGCTCAACTCCCACTGGCTTTAGCGAGAGCCTTGTCTAAGGCAGGACCACAGGGTTTGACTCCTTTCCATCGTTTCATCGCTTGATTTTACCAGCCTGGCCAGCTGATACCTTCTCTAGGCTCCTTAGTTCGTCAGGCTCAAAAAGGTTTTCTACAGGGTTAAAAACTAGCTGTTGTGTGAAGCTGGCTGGCGGCGCAGGTCGCACAAGGAGACCCTGCTTTACATTTCAAAGGCCCCCCAAAAATAAAATAATCAACATCACCTGGAAGGGACCCTGTATAACTACGGAAGCCTGCGGCTGCCATCCCTAAAGTGCGTGAGTAATAGTGCAAAGAGCTGGGCTGCATCTGCCAAGCCACCAGCGGCGCTTTGAACAGAACTGGGGCAAAACCTGCACGTTTCAGCCAACATGCTCAGGCCAGCCTGCAAGAGCTCAGGCACGTGCGACACTCTAACGGGGCAAATTCAAGCCAGGTGGCCCAGGGAGCCACGCAACAGGTTGCCTCAAGCCCACCCGTAATGGGGAGGACCATCCCCACCGCCCTGGCCAGCAGGAGCAGGGGACGCGTGAGCTGGGTCCTTGGGGCACAACCAGAGGGAGAAAGCTTTGCTGGGCTTTATCACATGAAGAGCACACACAGGGGATCCCCATAAGGCTTGAAAGAGATCATTTGGCAAGTTAAAACAAACTGGGAGAGGGTCTGGTGTGTGGAACAGGAGCCTGTGTCCTCCTCAAACCACGCGGATGCGGGTGCCTGGCCCAGCACAGAGCATCCTTCCAGCCCTGCTCCGAGTGCTCCTCGCCTTTGGGCTTAAGCCACACGCCATCTGCAACTTTATTTTGCTGTTTAAAAGAACTTGAAAGTTCTTTTTTACATAGCTAATAATTAAAGGCATTTATCACTGCTTCCATTTTCTGTCTGAATCCCTTCTTCATTCCGGCTGCCCTATTTCATCCTCTCTCTGAGAGAAACCAGTCTCGCACAACCTCCATGCAGCAAGTGGAAACCAGAAACGTGCCCTTCTCTCTGCCCAAATTTAAAGGTCAGGTGAAAAAAAAAAAAAAAAAAAAAAAGCT